GCTGGAGCCCACATAATTATTTAATCAACAAGATTTACTTCATCATCATCATTACAGCCCTTCACAAGTCCACTGCTGAACATAGGCCTCCCCCAAGTAATGCCACAAAGCACGGTCCTGAGCCACCTGCATCCATCGACTTCCTGCATGTCTTACCAGGTTGTCACTCCATCTAGTGGGGGGTCGCCCTACACTACGCCTACCGGTACGAGGCTGCCACTCGAGAACCTTTCTTCCCCATCGGTTATCGGTTCTTCGAGCTATATGGCCGGCCCATTGCCACTTCAGCTTACTAATCCGTTGGGCTATGTCGGTCACTCTGGTTTTACTGCGGATATCCTCATTTCTGAGTCTATCACGCAGAGAAACTCCGAGCATAGCCCTCTCCATAGCTCGCTGAGCGACCTTAAGCGTCCTCATACGGCCAGCAGTGAAGGACCACGTCTCAGATCCGTAAGTCATCACTGGCAACACGCACTGGTTGTACAATCTAGTTTTTAGAGATTGAGGTATACCTGACGAAAAGATATGCCGTAATTTCCCGAACGCTGCCCAGCCGAGTTGAATCCGTCGATTGACCTCTCGGTCGAAGTTGGACTTACCTAGTCGGACTATTTGTCCCAGGTAAACGTAATCGTCAACAACTTCGAGCATAGTGCTCCCAACAACTACCGGCATAGGTGTGACATGGACATTGAACATGATCTTTGTTTTGTCCATGTTCATCTTAAGACCTATCCGTTGGGAGGCACTATTGAGGTCATTGAGCATAGTGCTTAAGTCCTCCAGCGATTCTGCCATAAGGACTATATCGTCGGCAAATCGAAGGTGAGTGATGTACTCGCCATTGATGTCAATACCGTATCCTTTCCAGTCCAGTAGCTTGAAAACGTCTTCCAATGCAGCGGTGAAGAGTTTCGGGGATATAACGTCACCCTGTCTTACACCTCTCTGCAGTTGGATAGGTTTCGAGCTCTGGTTCTGTACTCGGATAGCCATCGTAGCCCTACTGTACAAACACTTCAGCACTTCGATATACCGACAGTCAACTTGGCACCGCTGAAGGGACTGTAGCACCGCCCAAATTTCGACGGAATCAAAGGCTTTCTCATAGTCCACATACGCCAGGCAAAGTGGCAGATTGTACTCTTCAGTCTTCTGTACAATCTGCCGCAGGGTATGTATGTGGTCTATGGTACTGAAGCCTTTTCGGAAACCGTCAAGAAGTCGTCAAGTCTGCGTGCGAGACGATTCGTAATGACTCTCGAAAACAGCACGTAGACGCGGCTCAGAAGGGAAATCGGTCTGTAGTTCTTTAAGAGAGCGTTGTCGCCTTTCTTAAAGAACAAGACCACCGCACTTCTGCTCCACGCCTCTGGAGTAGTGCCACCATGGAGGACGGAATTGAAGAGCTTCTGAAGGACTTCAAGTACCGGTGTTCCACCCGCTTTCAGAAGCTCCGCTGTAATTCCATCCTCGCCTGGGGCCCTGCCGTTTTTAAGGTGCTGGAGAGCCATTCTAATCTCGCTTAGACTGACGTCCGGGATATCATCGGAATAGTGTCGGATAAGACTTGCTCTTGGATCGTTACTCACACTTGCGTGTGTCTCCAACGATGATGTGTACAGCTGCCCATAGAACCTCTCAATCTCACTCAAAATCTCAGGTGTCCCGGAAACGATGTTGCCACACTCAGTCTTCAGCCTTGACAGTTGGCTCTTTCTGGCAGACAGATCTCTGGCAAAGACTTTGGAGCCCTGGTTCCGCTCGATCGCTTCTTTAATACGAGAAGTATTAAAGTTGCGTAAGTCTCGCCGTATGCATTTGGAGATCTGTCTGTTCAGTTGCCTGTATGCTGTCAAATCTGTTGACGATTGCAGCCTCATCTCCCGTCTAACAGCCATGAGATTAAGAGTGTGATCGGAGAGTTTTTGTGTTCTTCTGCGGCGGGTCTTGCAGAACTTAGCTCCGACCGCATGGACAGTTTCCACGAGCTTGTCGTTCATATCGTCCACTGCATTGCAATCTTCTAGGCACTGGAAGCGGTTACGTAACTCGAGCTGAAAGGTTTCGGGATTCTGGATTAGAGCACGAGGGGGACGGAGCGTTGACTTCATTAGACGAGACCTCTCCAACTTAACGTTTAGGTTCAGTGTGCCTCTAACCATTCGGTGATCGCTGCCAGTTTTCACCCTTGCGATCACTGAGACATCACTGAACAGTTGGCGTCTGGTCGTCATAATGAAGTCAATCTCATTTTTTGTCGAACCATCGGGGCTCGACCAGGTCCACTTCCTGTGGGGCCGCTTCTGGAAGAAAGAGTTCATCATAAAGAGTTCCTCTTTCTCCATAAAGTCGGCCAGCTGCTGGCCCCTTCGGTTCCGTTGCCCTACTCCAAATTTCCCTACCTTCAGCTCACCGCTTTCTCTTGTGCCCAGTTTTGCGTTGAAGTCTCCCATCAACACCGTGTAGTAGGTTTTGGAGGAATGTATGGCTCTGGAAATATCCTCATACATTTCCTCCACCTCCTCATCGGGATGTGCCGAGGTTGGTGCGTAAACCTGAATGACCTTCAGCGAATACCGTTTGGTGATTTACTTATTTATGTTTAAATAATAAATAATATCATCAGATTAAGAAAGGAACGCTTCGGTGGTTTGTTCACGTAGAAAGAATGAATGAGGAAAGAGATGGTGCAGAAGTTGACAGTCGAGTCAACCGACGAACATGTGTGCGTTGGCTTATGGATATAAAGGAGGCAGGAGAGGTTGGTGAGGATCGTGCCAAATGGAAGTCCGTAGTCTCAGTCTACCCCTCTGGGTGACAGTTTAGTCGTTAGTGTTTCTGTTACATGTCATTATATAATAATAAGTACTTAGGACTTACTCGTGCATCTATAAAAAATAACTTGCAGCCCTTTAATACCATATTAAAAATATCTTTAATACACTTGCGTGCGTGCTCTGTTTCTATAGTAAATCACCGGTATACCGTCATTTCCTAAACGTCAATATAGATTGTATTCCTTACGCTAAATATTAGGTCCAAATACGATGTTTGAGAACAAAATAAGTATAATATTTTTAAATGTTATTATGTCAAATATTGAGTATTCTGTTATACAGACTATTAAATTGTTACATTTTGTAAAAAAATCTGATTATATTTTCTTCATTATACAACATACGTCATTATCACTGTCATCGTGCAGTTTTCACTCCATGGCATATCTTCTCAAATGGTTGTCACACAACAGACCACTTTAATTTTTAGTTTACAAACACGAAAAGCTCAGTTAGTAATCTTTACTTTCCAGTAGTTTCTTCTTTAAGAATGTTTACAGCGAAAAAAACATAGAGCTCTTTTCATTGCTCGCTTAACGACTTTAAACACCTGTATGCTCGGAAGGCGACGTAATTCGATACTCCTGTTGGCTCGCAACCTAAAATGGCGGGAAATGCAATTTTTTTGCTAATTTGCAAATTTTACTCTATTTTAACTTTGAGACAATATTTATGGATAAAACTTACAAGAATCTTGTTGAATGTATAAACTATCGAATAAAATTATTTATAGTTGCTAGAAATTGTAATAAAATTTATAAATTACCCTTTATTGCGTAGTAGTAGTAGATACTTCACTTTTAGTCACAAAATTAGTACTAATTTGAAATCTACACGTTTGTTTTTGGAGAAATCTATATGAAAATGTTTGGAAATATGTATATTTTTATGTTTTATGTGTTTCTGTTCGTTACTCATACCAAAATATTAAAAAAAAACGAAACTAATTTTTATCTGTACGAAATTTCGAAGAATATATGTTTGTGTGAATTTGAAATAAATACAACGTAAATTTATTTGAAATATGTAAGAAAACTATTTTTACTTACATTTTACACTAAAATCCATGAGGTTCTCAGAACTATTAAACTATTTTTAGTTACATTTTACACTAAAAATAAATGAAAATTACACATTAAAATAACGCGTTTTTGACTCAACCGCTAAAATGGGTCTTCTCGATTTCGAAGTACTTTTGGCACTTACTTTTCAATTTTAAGCCACAAATTAGATATCTACGTGTTTGTTATATTACAAAGAATACACAAAAGTATAAAACTCACCTTTTATTTCAAAAACACACAGAAAAACAGAAAATCACTCAGCAATAGCTCACACACAACCACGCCCTACTGGTGTAAAGACCCGTTACGTCAGAATGAGTTTTTATTTTTTATTTCTTATGTGACATTGACAGATTATGGTACCAAATTAAAGAGTATGTCTTTGTCTATGTCTGTATTATATATTTCAGTATAACTTTGATATAATTTTTAATGACAAACCTTTTTTTGTCGGGTTCGCCCTCATAAATTATTAGTAGGCGTATGTGCATTGTCGAGCGGGCGGCTCGCGGTGGTATTAATCACATGTGTACCCTTATCGAACGTACGGGCAGCAGAGTTTTCAGAGTCTACGTGATGGCACCATAGGTTAATTACTAGTAGGATGCACTAGTTTCTCATCCATTACACACATTCGATAATACCACGTATAAATATTATATGCTCACTTACATCTATCCTTTTACGAATAAAATGAAAATGTTAACTAATTAATTGTTAAACTAAAACTAGCCTTACTAATGTAAAAATTGATGACTGGAGCAAAAATGTCTGAAGTTGTAGATAATTTCAGCGTATTCGTTTGTGACTCAAGTTATTGAAATTGTGTAAAACAACATAAAACAGTATATATCACTCTCACCACCTTTAGTTTTTGTAATTACAGTAGGGACTCGTTAATCCGGAGAGGCAAAAACAAGACCCTTTCCGGATTATCGAGCTGTCCGGTTTATAGTATGCCATATTTAATGGTAATAAAACACATGTTTAACCTTAGTTTCTTTAATTAATTTTCCAATTAAAGCATAAGACCAAAAATATACATGTTGAAAATTACAACTGTGTAAGAAAAATAATAAGTTAAAATAAAACATTAATTAATTTTTCTTGAAAAGTTTGTAATATTCTTCTGTTTATAATTTTCGCACTTCATTTCAAAAACCCGGTCTCTTAGTCGGCGGAGAAAGATAACTTCGTGGCTATCAAATTCGTTATCTTCAGCCCATTTTAAAGCAGTGTTTAAAGCTCCTACTGCCTCTGAATTAGCAACTTTTTTGGAGGCGAGATCTTCAACGCTATTGTCTTCATTTTGCTCATCATCCTCACACATTACCGCTAGCACAATCTCCTCATCATTTAACCCTTCATATCTTTGTAACTCGCTTTCGGCACCGCCAGTAGCCCATTCTTGAGCTTCTGCCTCACTTATTTGAGGATCATTGGATCCCCTTAACCTATTAAAAAGCTTGGCTAAAGGAACATCATCTTCTGGTTCGTCATTTTCAGTGAGAAATCCAGGATGCAAACTCTTCCATGATTTGTTAATTAGCGATGCCTTAACGTTGGCCGAGCAATTAGCCAAAAGAAAAACTGCGTCCTTTAAAGTTGTCGATTTTAACCTGTAAGCTCTGACAGCTCGCGACAAGTTATACTCCCGTTCGCTCGGGACCTTAATGGCGGGAAAATTTGCAAGTTAGCAAATTTTTTGCTATATTGCAAATTTTGCTATATTTTCACTTTGAGACAATATTTATGGATAAAACTTACAGGAATTCTTGTTGAATGTATAAACTATCGAATAAAATTATTTTTGGTTGCTAGAAATTATAATAAAATTCATAAATTACCTTTTATAGCATAGTAGTAGTATATACTTTACTTTTAGTGCCAAAATTACTACTAATTTGAATTCTACACTTTTGTTTTTGGAGAAATTTATATGAAAATGTTTGGAAATATGTATATTTTTATGTTTTATGTGTTTCTATTCGTTACTCATACCAAAATATTAAAATATAAAAAAATAAAAAAAATAATAGTAATATTTATCTGTATGACATTTCGAACGATATTTTAAAAATATTTTTGTGTGAATTTGAAATAAATACAACGTCAAGTAATTTGAAATATGTAAGAAAACTATTTTTACTTAAATTTTACACTAAAAATCCATGAGGTTCTCAGAACATAATGCAAGACAGTTAACCAAAGGTGATTTGCGGTAATTTAACTTCACATTTTGTATAACGTTCAGATCCATAGGTTGTAAACACGCCGTGGTGTTAGGTGGCAAGAACATTGCAAAAATGTTGCCGTCTTCAGAGACAAGTTCATCTGCTGATTGATGCCCAGGACAATTATCCAACAATAGCAGTGCCTGAGGAGGTAAATTAACAGACAAAAGATGGCGATGAATAGCGGGAACGAATTCTGTTTTAAACCACTCAAGAAACTAGTCTTTCGTAACCCAAGCATTTTTTTGTGCACGATAACAAACAAGAAGACGTGTTGATTTAAATGCCCGCGTGTTTTTGGATTTTCCGACAACAAGCAATTGTAGTTTGTGGGTTCCAGCCGCATTTGCACAAGGCATGAATGTCACTCTCATCTTCATCATTTTCTTCCGGTAGCCGATTGCTCATTATCAGAGGCTAAAGTATGATCTGGAAATAATCGCCAGTATAAACCAGATTCGTCAGCATTGTAAACCTGTTCCGCTGTTAATCTTTTTTCTCTAATAACTTTCTGTAAATATAGTTGGAATGGTCCGATAGCAGCTTCATCATTTGACAGTTTTTCACCGGCCATTTTTAAGCGTCTTATTACGTGGCGTTTTTTAAATTTGTCTAACCATCCCCGGCTTGCAATAAACCCGATATTGGAGTATGTAATCTGGCGATAAAAAATACGAGCTTTCTCAGAAATCTTATCACCACTTTCGGGAACATGCAATCGCCTTTGTTGCAAAAACCACGTAAACAAAGCATCTTCTAAAACAGGATTTTCAGATTTCTTAAGTGTTTTTCGTACACCGGAACAACGTTCTGTTAGGCTAACAAACTTTCAAGATTTTGTCTTTGTTTTTCTTTATGTCGCCTACAGTTGACCTGCCTATACCAAACTTCCGAGCAATGACAGGGTAGCTGTCACCTTTACCTAACATTTCTATAATCTGCAATTTTGCCGACCTTTGACCTTTTACCGTGTGGTAGCGGCGTAAAATATACCACCCTCTAGTTTTCGCATCATGAGGCAAAGGGGAAAAGAAATGGCGCCGAGTTACCGGCGCCCCTTTAATGGGGCAGGGGTGCGAAGAATCTCCGGGAGGAAAACCGGCGACGAGGTTCGCCACCCGTCACATTCTGTCTCCCGGAGGGGCGAAAAGAGGATTGCGGAGGCCCGTCTAGGTACGCTGAATATATGTGGAGCAATGAATGATAAGATGGATGAAGTATGCGATATGATGTATGATAGAGGAATAGATATGTTATGTGTAAATGAGAAGAAGCGGAAGGAAAGGTCACTACGGAAGAGTCACTACGAAGGGTTGGGGTGAGAAGGCTTGGATATGAAAGGATACTGGGAACGTTTGGTGATGAAAGTATTAATGAGAATGGTGAAAGCCTCCTCACCGTATGTGTGGAAAGGAATCTTTTTGTGACGAACACTTTCTTTCGTCATAAAAAGATTTACATGTATACTTGGGAAAGAGGTGATGATAGAAGCATGATAGATTTCATAACTGGGGTTTACCGGGGTTCCAACGTAGGGACGGACCACTTCCTGGTCTTATGCCGAATTAGGGGTTTATTCAGACGTTGGCGGCATCTGTGTCTACCACTGCGTTACAGTGTATAATTGAGAGGTTACAAGATGAAGATGTGAAAGACAAGTAAAAATGTAGACTGAGAGAAAATATAAGTAATTTGGATGAGTTGTATGTGAATGAGTTAGACTTGGAGAATGTGTGGCATAATGTTAACAAAGGTTTAGTGGATGCAGCTACCGAAGTATGTGGTGTTAGTAAGAGAACGAATGAAAGGAAAGACAATACGTTATGGTGGAATGATGACGTACGTATGGAAGTTAAGCAAACAAGAGAGCATGGCTAGATTCACTAGCGACCAAAGCTGGTAATTCTGGCGGTAAGAATGATGAGATTAAAAGAAAAAAGGCAGAGTTTAAATGTCTAAATAAGAGAGTAAAAGAATTAGTTGAAAGGAAAAAGCAAGAAAGAACGGATAAGAATGATAGAAGAATATCGGATAACTTCCAGGCAAATATTAAAATGTTCTGGAAACTCGTAAGAAATACCAGGAGACATTCAAAACAGCCTAGATTGAATGTGATACGAGACGGGAATGGCTGTATTCTGAATGATGAAGTGTTGAGTCTAAAGAGATGGAAGGAATATTTTGAAAGCGTATTTATGAGTGAGGAGACGTGTGAACTAAATGAAATAGAAATTCCGAAAGAAGATGAAAGAGATAGGGAGATAAGTATAGATAAAATAATGAAAGCAATGAAAAGCATGAAAGTAGGTAAGGCAGCCGGATATGATAGAGTTTCACTCGAAATGCTAAGGGCTGGAGAGGACGTGGTGGCGGGCCTGCTGTACACCTTGTTTAATTTATGTTGGGAACTAAAGACTGGTGCAAAGCCGTGATAGTCCCGATATATAAGGGAAAAGGGTCACAGCAGGACTGTAAAAAATACCGTGGTATCAGCTTTCTTAGTATTGTGGGAAAACTGTATGCTACGGTACTAATTGAAAGAGTTATGAAACTGATGAAAACATTTGGGATGTGCAAGCGGGATTTAGAAAGGGAATGGGGTGTACAGATCAAGTCTTTTACATGCGCATGATCACGGCGAAGTTTTTGGCGAAAAACCAAAAAGATTTTTTTGCGTTCATGGACTTGGAAAAGGCTTATGACAGAGTGGACAGGGATGTGTTATGGCAAACGCTGAACGTATTTAGGTTGAGCGCTGGTTTAATACAGGCATTAAAGTCTCTGTATAGGGACTCGAGTGCTTGTGTTAGAATCAACGGGGTCTACTCGGACTGCCTTGGCATCCATAAAGGTGTCAGACAGGGCTGTGTAGCTTCCCCGTGGCTATTCAACCTATTTATGGACAGTTGTTCGGAAAATTTGAAAGTTGAAGAATGCGGCTTAAGAATGGGTGAGTTAACCATCAAATGCCTTTGTACTCCGATAATCAAGTCACACTTGCGTCGTCGGCGGCCGAGTTGCAAATGATGGTTACATTAATGAACAGGTCATTAAAAGAAAGGGGAATGAAAGTAAACGAAAGTAAGACGAAAGTGATGGTTTTTGAAAGAGAATAAAGCAAAATGGTATGTGAAATAAGAATAGAAGGAGAGTTAATTGAGCAAGTGGATGAGTTCGTATATTTAGGATGTGTATTCAGCAGAGATGGGAGATATGATGAGGATATTGAACGACGAGTGAATGCAGGAAATAAAGTAAATGGGGCTCTACACTCTATTGTGAAAAGTCAGAATATGTCAAAAAAGGCACGTATTGCAATTCACAACGCTGTATTAGTCCCTACTTTAACGTATGGAAGTGAAAGTTGGGTGTGGCAGAAAGAGCACGAGAGTAGAATAAATGCAGTAGAAATGCGGTCGCTAAGGAGTATGTTAGGGCTGAATCTGAGTGACAGGGTGAGAAACTGTGTGATAAAAGAAGAGTGTGGTTTGAAAGATGATGCGGTGACCAGGATTAAGAAAGGAATGCTTCGGTGGTTTGGTCATGTAGAAAGAATGAATGCGGAAAGACTGACAAAGCAAATATGTGTTGCAGAAGTGAATGGAAGAGTCGGAAACGGACGTCCTAGGCGGAAGTTTGTCGACCAAATTGGCGATATACTAAAAATGGGTCAAATTAAGAGTACCCTTAACCGACGAGCATGTATGCGTAGGTATATGGATGTGGAAGAGGCGAGAAAGGTATGTCAGGATCGTGCTAAATGGAAGTCTGTAGTCTCTGCCTACCCCTATGACTGACAGGCGTGAGTGTTTGTATATGTTATGTCTAGGACAAGGAGAGAGTATAATTAAACGGTTAAACGAACTTACCTTAAGTGAAGTTCAACCATATTAATACGAAGCTCCTTGTTCTAAACGGTACTCCCATCCCAACTTTCACTGGTTTAGGGTTGCTCATCTAATTCCATGCTTTAAATATAATGAAATTGCATTGATGGATGGGTTGATACAGTGTTGCCATATATACTACTCCTTAAATTTTTTTAGCGAGCTTGGATAAATTGTGATGCTGGCATGAAACACGGCGTACTACAGTTGTTAAGAATGTCTAGGATAAGGAGCTTCGTATAATTATGGTTGAACTTGACATAAGGTAAGTTCGTTTAACCATTTCATAAAATCCCTAAAAACTTGTATTGTTTAAATTTGTTTTTTATTTTATTACGACAAAAAATTTATTCGCTTGTCGTTATTCACAGTACCAAATAAACTTCTTAATATCCTTCTTAATATCCAAGTACGTACTACTTGGATTGATGAGTCTTCATTTGATTTTAATTTGCTAAAAG